CACACACACACACACACACACACACACACACACACACACACACACACGCTCCTCTTAAGGGATTATTTCTGCTGCACATTTAAAGGCATCCCTAGGAAAGACACGGAATCCTGGGGAAATGAGAAGTCACCCAGGATTAGGGAGTACAAGTCATTGTCTAAATGTTGGGCATCGCGAATTCAAGGTACACTCATCTGGAAATCTGACAATGGAAGCTTGGGTTGGGGATATTGAGTCCTGTCTCCTGTCTCACTCTTCCTCCTTCAAAACAGTCTAGTACAGTACTTAGTAGCCAATAAATCATTTGTTGAGTTAATTGTAAATATTTGCCTTTTCCCATTGTTGACAGTAATGGGCCTTAGCTAAATAGTTTCCCTCTGGTCAGGAAATGAAAGAAAGAATGGGCCCTTAGCAACCTGTCCTGGAACTGTACAAGGAGATGGAAGAGCAGTGGAGGAAACTACTGTTCCTACCTCAGCTTCCCTTCTTCAGCAAAGGCTGAGTGAAGCCCCTCCCCTTCCCATTCAGGACCTCCAGCTACAATGCAGAGAACAGTACCAGAAAGGGGTTAGCCAGCTCGGCCTGTCACGTTCACTAGCTCTAGCTCTTCTAGTCCCCAGAAGCCTCGCCCCTCCTCCTCCATCCCTAGCCCAGGTTTGGAGGCGAGTCCCCTCTAGTGACTGAGCCGCCTGCACGTTGGCGAGCGTCTTTCTGCTTCTCTCGCATCTTTGTCTCCACCTCCAGCCAGGCTCCGGCGCCCCGCACAGGGTCTGCAGCGGCCGCCGCAGCAGCAAAAGCCAAGTCGTGCCCCACACGGCAGCCCGGGGCCGCACCCTCACTCGGTGGCTGCGCGCAAAGACGCCAGCCGCGCCACGCACCGCCTGCGTCCTGCGCCCTGGCCACAGCGCATCCACGCCGCCGCGGCGGTCGCTCCGGAGCGGAGCCCGGCCGGCGGGCCGGGTCAGGGTGGGTAGCCCAGTTTGCAGCTTGCTGGAGGTGGCGGCCGCTGCAGTTCTGGCAGCGCGCACAACCCTAGGCATACGCACCAAACGCCTCCTCCCTGCGCCACGAGGATGGAGCAGCCATCCCAACCCAGGACTGGCGCAAGGTAAGGTGCAGCCGCCTGTTGCTTTACGCAGAGCGCGGGATCAGCTCCCAGTCAGGGTGCCTAGGCCATCTCTCTGGGAAGCCAAGAACGGTCACCGCAGTTCTGAGCCTTGTTGGTATAAACCTCCGGGTCCCGTTGACACATATCTTTGGAAAGACCCCGCCTGGAGAAGGGAAGTCGACCCTTTTCGCTCTCGTGCAGCCAGGTGCCTTGCAGCAGTCTGCAAACTTTTGTGACCCTCCCTGCGTGGTTCTCACCTGGTGCGGTGCCTGTTCAGGTCTCGCGTGCGCCCTTCCCCCAGCTTCCCTTGCCTTAACGCATATGCCCATTTCTCTCACTGTGTTCTTGCAGTTCGACTTTTTGCTCCCTGCAGCTCCGGTTCCAGAGGCGAGGGCTTGGGATCTAGTGGTGCTCCTTAAGCCTGTATCAGCTGGGTTAGGGGAACAGGGGGCGAACTAGGAGAGGTGGGACTTAAGGGAAGGCTGCTGCCACCCTAGGTCTTCATCCGGAGCGGTGGGTGTCAGACCGCTCGAGCCCGCCACCCCCAACTCGACAATAAAAAAACCTCCGAGTGTCTTTCGGTTATGGTTACGTGCCCTGGGAAATGCAAGTGCTGATCTGGGTGGGTGAAATAAGTGGTTCTGGGAAGAAAAGATCCCTCTTTAGGATGCGGGAGGTAGTGGAGGATGAGATCTGCCCAAGGGTGAGGGAGTTGGAAAGGCTCTGCTAATGTGGATGAAAGGGGCAGCCCACTGTCGCCACTGAAAAGGATTTGCAAAAAAGATTGATGCCCGGTGGGGGTGGAGGCCGCTGGTCTGGGTGTGTAAATACAGGGGGAGGGGCTAGGTACCTGGGAGGTCCGGAGGTGGGAAGCAGCCCTAGAATTCCTGCCTAGGGGTATTTAGGAAGGCTAGCTGCCTCTGCCGAGGGTAGAAAGAGCTCCCTCCCCAGGAACAGACAGACCTCTCGGCTACAGTCTGAATGCGTTGGCATCTTGGGCGGTGACTGAATGTTCAGATCATGGACCGTGGACGCTGTCCCTGGCTCCAAGAGGACCACAGCCTCTCTCCTCTGGCACCAGATCGCTTCTACACCTTTTCATCTCCGCAACCGGGTCGGTAGATCTACGCCCACCTTCTCTGACAGCATTGGGGCTTCAAGGATGTCTCCACGTCCTGGAATGAGAAGGGGACTCTTGGCCTGATCCCTAGGGTTATGTGTGAGAAGCGAAGGGGAGTCCCTAACCAGCTCTCAACAGATAGACTGGGGTCCCAGCCCTCCTTAGGAGAGTGCAGGGCGGAGGCTGCTCTGGGAGCCACCTTCCCCTGGCTGCTTCAAGGTTTGCACCTGGGCGGAGTAAAGAAGGGAGTGGGGGAGCCCTGAGCTGGGTTAGGAAAGATCCTTCCTTGCCTTAGAGCTGGAGGGTGTGTGGAGAAGGGGGTGTGCACAGCTCCTCCAGTGAAGGGAGACCCAGCTTCTCCACATGGTCTCTGGAATCAGAGGCGGGTCTACCCACTTCGCAACCTCCAGATAGATCCTCCTGGTTGTTTCTGATGGTTTGGTGTATGCAGAGGTCTTCCTTTGCACCCCAGCCATCTGGCCTTCAAGACCACTCCTGGGAAGGGGCCTCCTGCGCCCATTGCAAAAAAAAAAAAAAAAAAAAAAAAAAGAGTGTCCTCTTTCTTGTCTCTAGTAGCCTCCTCCTCTCTTCCCTGGTAGGAAACACATCTGGAAGATGTCTGGAAGAGGAGGTACATAACCCTCTTTACCCCCTCTCAGGGACACTTTTTGCTAAGAGTCCCGTATGTCTCTATTCCCCACCTAGATGGGTGGGAAAGCAGTTGCGGTCTGTGTTTGTTTAGAGCTGTGGACAGCCCCCAGCTTCTCCCTGCATGAACTCCTCAGATTGTGGCTTCTAGCAGGACAACCTTCCCTGGATTGCCCTGTGATTGTCTCTCCTATCCTGAACTACCTGGGAAGGAAAGCAGAAGTGGAGTCATGTTGCTTGGCCTCTTAGTCAGAGCCTTCCAGAAAAGAGGTGGACTATCAGGGCTCTAGGGATAATTCTATGGTTGTCACTCCCATTCCCAGGAGCACCTGGGGCAGCTAGCTCTCTGCTTCAAAACAGACAGCCCTGGAGCTCTAGGACAAAGAATGGGGATTCCCTCCAAAAAGCTTCTGATGCTTTTCTGGGGCACAAAGGTGGCCACACCCTCCCCAGTCAGACCTGGCTGGTGACCAGCATGCAGCTTCTTCTGAACCACCTGGATGTCTGAGGTAGGACCCCAGATGTCAACCAATCTGACAGGTTTCTGGATTCCTCTCACCTGGATTTGTGTTCTCCTTCTTTTTGAAGAAATGGGGTGGAATGCCTCATCTCTTGGGAATTTGAGAAAAGGCTTCAAAGCCTTCTGACTCTAAAGTCAGAGTCTGAGGTGGCTTGGGTCAGTGGATGAACTGTGTTGGGGAGACTGGGGTGATAGTAGTGTCTCTTAACATTCGACCAGTTGGTACTGCACGAACGGCCAGACACTAACCAGGATGTTGTATGTGTTTGTGTTACTTTTAATTTACAAAATAGTCATGAAAGTTAGGTGAAGTAATTGTGCATGATTGAGTAAGTGGGAAAATCAAATCATGGAGAATGGGTTTGCTCTGGGTCACCCAGCCAGAACATAGTAGGCAAGCTGTGTCAAGCTGTGTGGTCCAAATTCACAAGCAGATCTTGTAGTAAAGGCTGTCCACAGGAGAGGTGACTGAACGAGGCCCGTTCTGCTTTGGTCTCCGCCCAGGGGTATATGTGAGTACCCCGGAATCTGGAGTGTGGGGAATGGTGGAGACTGTCCCTAGAGTCGGAGTCTCTTGGGGGGCACCGGAAGCCAGTCTCAGAATCCAGCTGCTATTGACCCTCTGCTAACACGTTAGCAGATGTGGGAGATGGTGTCGGAGATCTATGTGTGATCTGCTTTTTGCTCAAAAGTCAGAGGCCTTTGGGGTAGCAAGAGCAGTCCACAAGAGAATGTCTTTCTGGGGGCTAAATGAGAACACAGCATAAACTGGGAATTCAGAGACAAATATTCCTCCCAAGGGGGCCAGTTGGTGCTGGGTACTACCTGTCAGTGAGTTTGTAGCATAAGTAATGTGGGAACCATTGCCTTTCGACCCCTGGGTCCTGTGAACTTTGATTATGTACAAATAAATATGTATTTCTGATGTATTTCAACACCTTAAAAATACTTAGGGAAAAAGACTTGCTTATTTTTTAAATAGGTAGTTTTGCTTATTTTTCCATAAAAATGCTTTTAATCGGTATTACCTGATAAAATGAGTACCCTACAATGGAAAAATCACCACAAACCTGGATCTTTGGGAATAAAAATGTAGTAGACTATTTATTTATAAGCCTTCAAATCAACAAAAATTAACTAACCATGGAAACCTTTAATGATTCTAAATAAGATTAAATGTATTACCAGCCATTTTTGAAAGGTCTTATCAAGTTTGAGTAGTTTTCTCCTTTTCTACTTACAATCAGGTGCATAAGCTGAGAAATTGCAGAATATCAGGGGAAAGGTCTTTTTTTATGCAACCAAATGCATTGGTGGATTTTTCCCTGATATCTGGCCATTCATTAGATTTCTGTGCTGATGTAATTCTAAGTGTAGCAGTGGACCACACATACTTTTCTGCTCGCCGAGCTCCTTTTCTAGAGAACACTTTGCAGCCACCTAGGAACTCTGTGGACCTCTAGGAAGTCTTGCGGAGTGGGATTCTATGTGCTAAAGGTAGTTCACGCACTTTCTCTGAGCTCATAGAAGACAATCTAAGAAAACTCCAGCTGTAGAGTGGGAAAAGCCCACTGCCCAGCTCTACCAGGGTGGCAGGAATTATAAATGAATGTAGAAATTTGGTAGCTCTTATGTCACCTCCAATTTGGTGACAGTCCATCACAGAGATCCTGTGTATTGGATCTGGGTATTGACTGATGGAGAAGAAGAAGGTGAGGCCTGCTGGAGAAGCTCTGAGTGACAGGAACTCCAGAAGCAATTCTGGCTCATCTTTTCCATCCATCCACCCATCCATCCATCCATCCATCCATCCATCCATCCATCCATCTCTCCCTGCTCTGTGTCTGTCTGACAAATTCCAGGGTCTCAGTGTTTCCAGGGACTGCACTCATTTTCTAGAGGGTTCATTAAAATGAATCATAGTTTTATGTAAATAGAAAAATCCAGACACCTGCCACGCTCTTCAGGGAGAACCATAAGTAATCAGTTTGTCCCCAAAATGTAACCATCTCAAGGTAGGGACACTGGTTTGGTTAACACACAGTAATTGAGGAATAAGATAATAGATGAACCCTTGAAATCTATTGTGACAACATGACAAGAAATGGTCTCTTCTGAGCCTGAGAGTCCCAGGAAGCTGCATGGACAGTCTGGTCAGCCATTTCAGGCTCTTCAGACAGCCCATTTTCTTACTCCCTGGGCACCTTTGTGGTACGGTACCCCATCAGGTGACTCACAGGGTGCTGTCACAATTCCCCAAGCACACCTTAAATCCTAGAAATCTAAGTTTGTAGACAACAGAAAAACTAAGCAACCATGAGGGGAATCACAAGAAGAAATGAAGTCTTCTTTCAGAACGCATAGACTGTAAATGCTCATGCTCTCCGTGGTGTGATTATACATTAATTTCATTTTATGTTGATATTTTAAAATAAATAATTAAAATCCATAGCATCCAATTTAGATTTTGACTAGCAAGAGAAGACAAAATAGATTTAAAGCTGAGTAGTATTGATGCATTCCATTAATCCCAGCACTCCGGAGGCAGATATAGGTGGATCTCTCTGTTTTAGCCTAGCATGGTTTGCAAAGAAAGCTCCAGGACAGCTAGAGAGCCAAAGAGAAACCGAATCTCAGCCCAACCCTCTACACCCCCCCCCAAAAAAAAAGATTCTAAGGAAAGGGTTTGAGATAATTCCATGAATGAAACAAACCAATAAAACAAAATAAAAAGATCAAAATGGAACCAGAGAAGCTTTTTCCTCAGGAATTCTGCCTTAAACCATTATAATAATATCTTAAAACATGTCCACATTTGAGTTCTCTATGTTATTAAAATTTAGCGCTGTTTTATTTATATATTGTGACTATGAACATTTTTTGACAATGCAGAATGGATAAGGCTTTTAGATTAGAGATAGCTGTCAACTTTTGTGTACTCTTTAAAATGTCTTAGCTATTGAAGCAGCTCAGCTCAGCATGTGACAAGGCCATCTCCTGTGACAGTGAACTCTGCAGTCTTTTCTTGAGCCGTGTGACATGGTCAGTTCCTGTAAGAGTGAAGTCTGGGGTCTTCTTTTGAGTCTGTGGTATTTTTCCAAAGTTGTAAATTAATAGAACGGTCCATGCAATTCTTCATAAATGAATGAGTAAGTCTCGGAAAGAGAACTAATGCCGTGAGAATGGGTTTTCGTCTTTGAGGGATAAACAGATTATGAAAGATTACATTCATCAGTTCTTTCCATGCTAAACTCCTAAGCTATATTTTATATTAATACTTGCCCAGTGCAAATGTTACTATACTCTTAGGCAGTTTTCTTAAAGAGTGTTGTAGTGCTTTTTATTGGGGAAAAAAAGAAAAACAATATTAAAATGTACCTCAAACTATTTTCAGTACCATGGAGCTAACTTGATAGTGCACTCTGCTTCCAAATATAAGATAGCTTCTTGTTTTTCTTTACTTTCCCCTTAGTCCCTTTCTTCTTCCCTCTTTTCTGCCCCACCTTTTCCTCCCTCTTTCCTGCCCTGCCTTTCCTCTTTGGGTTATTGATAGGGTAGGCATTCTCTTTGCTACCTTACTGGGAGGAACTTTCACAAACCTGTCTAGACAAGGGCTGGTTTGCAGGAACAGTGCACTGTTTTGCTTAAAGCTAAAGTGCAAGTTGTGAAGCTTCTCCCTGGCTCTCCCCCAGGCTTCTATTCTAACCTCACCTCTGACTTACAGGAACAGACCTCCTCCAGGCCTGCCTCCAGGGTTCCCTCTCACAGTGAGTAAGCAACATGCTTGGCTCGGAATTTTGGGTGAGGAGGAATGTCCTGATTTAAC